TTCACTTAACAAAGCCATCAACAGGGAAGACTGTAAACACATAAATGGAATAATTTATGTCATTTATTGAATAATGAGATATATTTAGATCTATAAAAACAGATAATATACCTGATTCGGCTGATACCCCGCCCATCCTAAACCCTGCCCATGGGCGATGTTTCAAATAGTGGGCGATGTTTTAGTCCACACATTGTGAGAATTTTGTTAGTTTTACAATGTAAGAAATGTAATCCTTTTCATCCTTTCCGAACGATTATTGCCTGACTGAACCAACAAACATTTTTAAAGACCCAAATTTTCCCGTCTGACATCTTGCATCGAGCGCGCTATTTCAAATATGATGCTGAAAATAATTCACTGTGAAGTCGAAAAGCCTAAAACTCCAATAAATCTAATGCTGGATACGAAGTGTTGTTGCGTATTATGACTTGTTAATACATTTCACTTACGTTTATTACACTCGAATATAGTCTACGCTTGAAAAGAATGCTATTTACGAAGTTTAAAATAGCCAAGCCTTCCTGATTCAAGCGTCTTGGTTGATTTAACAACAGTAGGTATCAGTAATGTTTAATCTTTGTCTGTATCGCATTCCAGACAAAAAGTTCAAGATCAGTAAAATGTCTCCTGAGTTTTACATGCGACATGATTATTAAAAAACAGAGAGTTAAGCGGTCATGTACGTTCTATAAATCTAACCTTGCACACATAATCTTGTATTTTTTGTCAAAAAAGACGCTCGTTCCCTTTCAGTTAACCCCAGTTATATACTCTTCGCGTTCATGGTATTTGTGAGAGTTGAAAGATTTTTTGAACAAATGAAAAGTAACTATATTAATTTGGGTGAAGCTGGGTGGCCCAAATTTAAATATCAGTGCATGAACTCTGGAGGTCATTGCCGATACCGCACGTAAATTCAAACGCGTGGTTATTAGAGTTCAGTCGAAATGTACATGAATAATGCGATCGAAGTGCGCTGCCTAGAGTTTCTTATATTATAGTAAAATTTAACTTGACGCATGGTATGGTTTATATTACATATTCACTTCATTTTGAATAAAATAATTCACCATTGGAAGTCGAACATCGATGAATCACAAGTATTTAAAATATTTTCACGACTTTCAGTAGAGTAGACACATGACTACTATCTTTTTCAATGATTTATGATTTAAATGCGCCCATGTTTATGTTTGCGTAATTATTGTGAATGCAACGCATTATCAAGTCGGTAATATTGAAATATTCACAGACCCAATACCCGGGTCAGTGCCCTAACAATAGTAAAAAATAACTTGAGTTTGCGTAATTATCATGAAAACAATACATTACAAAGCCGGTACAATATTGTAAACAAATTTGCGTAATTAGAAAAGCAGTGCACTTAGTAAACAACCTTGATATATTCAAAGCCAGTACAGAGTTGCATACAAGTTGCGTAATTACAGTACCTTGGGATATAATAACAATTTTACTAGATCAACGCGCGGAGCACAAAAGAAAAGGGTTGTTAAGGTAATGCACCAGTTCAGTGCGTGACTTGGGGTCAAACTTCGATAAACACACACTTGATGTCAGCATCACCGTGCAGTAAGTTTCGCAAAGTACTTAAAGTTTAATTGCATCCCAAAATGTTGCTGATCACTCAGTTGTTGCAGCGTGTGTTGTGTCATGTACATGATCCACCCAGTTTCGACTTTGGCTTGCTTTTGAATTTATACTTTGCATGATTATATTTGATTAACACGAAACATTATTTTTTCTAAACATTTTCTGAGACCATTTTTATCAACGCAGGGTTATTTTTCCAGTCAAGATGGACTTCGTAATATCTGCCATAACATCGCTCGGGCGATCTTTTGGTCCACATTTTATTTTTTTTAAATCAAATCCTCCATAAGATCGCCCAGGGCGTGGTATCAGCCGAATCCGGTCATTGCCCATATTTCAACATGTTAATAATAGTTCACACACTATCAAATCAAATACTCATTCACTATGGGTTGTTTGATGCATAATAAATACTGTACTTGCTCTATTAGTAGCGCATACAAAATCAGATGTGAATTACAAGGCAAATTTATATGCACAGATGTGCTTATAATAGAGCAAATACAGTATATTTATAGATCTATAGAAATTACCTTTCCTGACGCAACAGGTCCAATAACAGCCAACAGTTCCCCTGGTTTAACTTCAAAACTAAGGTTTTTTAGGGTTGGTGTCTCCAGACTCTATTTCATTAAGAGATGTACAGTAAATTGAATATCAGCTAATGTAATGTAATAAAACTGTACTATCGAATATATGTTGTTTGTAGCATTTGACATATGAAGTACCATAGCAATATGTGGGGTATACCAATGCACATAATTTCACATTTTTGAAAAAGAAATGTGATGAAACTAATGCAGACTTATTTTGTAAAATGTGATGAAAGATGTCTTTAGTATTAAGAAGGGATAAAGTTAAACAAACAAATGCATGTACAATAAAATACAGCATGACTATTTGCACTTGACAAAACTAACTCCAATACATCAAATGCTACACATGCTTAAAACGTGGTAACTAAGTATTAACTCACTTCAATTTTAGTTTGGCTTAAATAATTTGCAGAAGAGAGCGACATGTTCGAAGAGCACGTTTAGTGAAGGTATGGTACGTTTTTCTTGTTGTAACTGAGGTACTGAACCAAAAAATGATGTTGAGCACCAGTGTTTTAAATCCGTTAATAACTACACAAAATACCATGCAAAAATAAGGCATATGTAATTAGTAAGAATATTCATGTGATTTTAATATACCTGATCCCAATAAGCTCCAATTTCCTTGGCAACTATAGTGCAATCAGCTGGCTTTGGACGTAAATTGGAATCTTGACTATCTACTGTTTTATGCAGCTCACCCAGAAGCAGGAATGTCTATGAGATGGGAAATGGATTATTTACAATACAAAAACGTATTGCAAGAGAAAACCATTGTGCATATTATGCAACACTTAAAGTATAGTTTCAAAAAATCAAAATAGGTCAATAAAAAATGTCCATACTTTTGACAATTAATTTTGAATTTGCAAATAAATAACATAGTTGTGTTTCTGGTCAAAATAAGTAACATTTTAGGATTCAGCATACAATAAAAGCAATATTTGGTTTATATGTGCTTCTAATAGACAAGACAGGATTCCTATCTAAAACATGCACATGTAATTAATTAATTAATTTTATTTTAGAATTAAACTTGAGGCAAGAGGCAAACCCAGGCTGGTAAAGCTGACCATTAAGTGAAAAAACTGATTCTTCATAACAGTATTCTGAGAGGAGACGATACTCAGTGTGGTAGTGTTGAGTACACCTGTTACTATACAATGGTATGCAGTGCCACCAAATAACAATATAATTGTCCACTGAAGAAACTTATAAAAAAGTTATAATAACTAGAAATGAATAACAACCAAATTTGTTGTGTTATGGAAAACAAGTTATGCTCTTTGTAAACTTTAACCCTTAATCATTATGTGGTCAAGTCCATGTTAAAAATGTATATGGGGCTGACAAGACCAGGGTTGATCCTTCCTACACTATTGTCCACTTGACTCTCCCAAGCCAACCTGTTGTCTACTTTGACCCTCCCAAGACTACCTATTGTCTACTTTGACCCTCCCAAGACTACCTATTGTCCACTTTGACCCTCCCAGGACTACCTATTGTCTACTTTGACCCTCCCAAGACTACCTATTGTCTACTTTGACCCTCCCAAGACTACCTATTGTCCACTTTGACTCTCCCAAGCCAATCTATTGTCTTCTTTGACTCTCCCAAGACTATCTAATGTCAACTTTGACCCTCCCAAGACTATCTATTGTCCACTTTGACCTTCCCAAGACTACCTATTGTCTACTTTGACCCTCCCAAGACTACCTATTATCCACTGTGACCCTCTCAAGACTACCTATTGTCTTCTTTGACCCTCCCAAGACTACCTATTGTCCACTTTGACCCTCCCAGGACTACCTATTGTCTACTTTGACCCTCCCAAGACTATCTATTGTCCACTTTGACCCTCCCAAGACTACCTATTGTCTACTTTGACCCTCCCAAGACTATCTATTGTCTACTTAGACCCTCCCAAGACTACCTATTATCCACTGTGACCCTCTCAAGACTATCTATTGTCCACTTTGACCCTCCCAAGACTATCTATTGTCCACTTTGACCCTCCCAAGACTATCTATTGTCCACTTTGACCTTCCCAAGACTACCTTTTGTCCACTTTGACTCTCCCAAGCCAATCTATTGTCTACTTTGACCCTCCCAAGACTATATATTGTCCACTTTGACCCTCCCAAGACTATATATTGTCCACTTTGACCCTCCCAAGACTATCTATTGTCCACTTTGACCTTCCCAAGACTACCTATTGTCTTCTTTGACTCTCCCAAGACTATCTATTGTCCACTTTGACCCTCCTAAGACTAAATATTGTCCACTTTGACCTTCCCAAGACTACCTATTGTCCACTTTGACTTTCCCAAGCCAATCTATTGTCTACTTTGACCCTCCCAAGACTACCTATTGTTCACTTTGACCCTCCCAGGACTACCTATTGTCCACTTTGACCCTCCCAGGACTACCTATTGTCTACTTTGACCCTCCCAAGACTACCTATTGTCTACTTTGACCCTCCCAAGACTACCTATTGTCCACTTTGACTCTCCCAAGCCAATCTATTGTCTTCTTTGACTCTCCCAAGACTATATATTGTCCACTTTGACACTCCCAAGACTATCTATTGTCTACTTTGACCCTCCCAAGACTACCTATTGTCCACTTTGACTCTCCCAAGCCAATCTATTGTCTACTTTGATCCTCCCAAGACAATCTATTGTCTACTTTGATCCTCCCAAGACAATATATTGTCCACTTTGACCCTCCCAAGACTATCTATTGTCCACTTTGACCCTCCCAAGACTATCTATTGTCCACTTTGACCTTCCCAAGACTACCTATTGTCCACTTTGACTCTCCCAAGCCAATCTATTGTCTTCTTTGACTCTCCCAAGACTATCTATTGTCCACTTTGACCCTCCCAAGACTATCTATTGTCCACTTTGACCCTCCCAAGACTATCTATTGTCCACTTTGACCCTCCCAAGACTATCTATTGTCCACTTTGACCCTCCCAAGACTATCTATTGTCCACTTTGACCCTCCCAAGACTATCTATTGTCCACTTTGACCCTCCCAAGACTACCTATTGTCTACTTTGACCCTCTCAAGACTATCTATTGTCTTCTTTGACCCTCCCAAGACTATATATTGTCCACTTTGACCCTCCCAAGACTATCTATTGTCCACTTTGACCTTCCCAAGACTACCTATTGTCTACTTTGACCCTCCCAAGACTACCTATTGTCTTCTTTGACATTCCCAAGATTACCTATTGTCCACTTTGACCCTCCCAAGACTACCTATTGTCCACTTTGACCCTCCCAAGACCATCTATTGTCCATTTTGACCCTCCCAAGACTACCTATTGTCCACTTTGACCCTCCCAAGACCATCTATTGTCCATTTTGACCCTCCCAAGACTACCTATTGTCCACTTTGACTCTCCCAAGCCAATCTATTGTCTTCTTTGACCCTCCCAAGACTACATATTGTCCACTTTGACCCTCCCAAGACTATCTATTGTCTACTTTGACCCTCCCAAGACTATCTATTGTCCACTTTGACCTTCCCAAGACTACCTATTGTCTACTTTGACCCTCCCAAGACTACCTATTATCCACTGTGACCCTCTCAAGACTACCTATTGTCCACCTTGACCCTCCCAAGACTACCTATTGTCCACTTTGACTCTTCCAAACCAACCTATTGTCTTCTTTGACC